CGGGCCTTGGCGCGCGCGGGCACTTTCTCGTCCGGGAACCGTTTGTGATTGCATGAGGCGTCGCGATTGGAGGCCGCCCGAGAGCGGGAAAGGATCCCCACCCTGCCGCCCCACCTTCCCCAAAACGTCTCTCCTCTGAACCGGTCGGCGGGTCAGTCGGAGGGCTTTGCAAATGAGGTTGGTGCAAAGGCCTGAAAAACGCTCCTGGCTGCAGGGCGAAGCGTGGCAGGGACTGTTAAGATTCGTGTCTCTGGGGTGGGGGTGCAAGGGCCCCGGGATCCGAGAAATTTGTGGGGCGTTCGGCGAGGACCGTTCACCCAACTGTTAGGGCGCTGTGCGCTGTGCCCCGCGGCTCCGGTTGCTGTGGCTTGGACAGGCAACCTGACTTCCTAAAGATTCGGTGCCCTCACTGGTGAAATGGAGCTTGTGACCGTGCCTACCCTGCGGGGTTATTCATAAAGTGAGCAGAGCGTTAAATGACACAGCTCGTGTAACATGCGCAGTCCTCTGTAAACCTCCAGACTAAACAAAGGATACAGAGGGCCCTGGGTGCAGTTTCCCACAGAAATCCTGTCTCCTATCACACCACCGTCCCCTGTGTCCCCCTTGTTTTAAAAATTGCGAACTGAGCAAAAATTCTGGAGAGAAAGTTCAGAGAATAATCATTCAGTGAAGAACTAGGAATTCATGGACTCATCATTGGCCCGAAGGAGTTTGAAAATCCACTGGGGTGAGGGTGGAGACAGGAACTTAGTTTTCATTTCATTTTTTATGTGGCTTTCTGATTCGCCACGGACGTTCGCCCTGCAAAGGGCAAAATGCCAGAAATAAATGAAGACAAAGAAACGTTAAGATTCAGGAAAGAAATGATTAACCTGGGAAAACCTCAACAACTGCAAAACCCCTTAGTCACTGAGAGACCATGGACTTTATACAAGGCCTTTTTGAGATATAATACTTTACAGAGGCTGGGGTAGGGAAGATACCATCTCCACCCAGGTGTATTTCTAAAAGCGCTACAGACTTGTGTTCGCAGTATTTTCACGTTACAAAGATCCGTGACAACCACATCTTACACAGAGTGACGACTAAGACCGGCCTAGCATGTTTGTTTAAAGCAGTTCGCAGGCATTGCCAATTTCACCCTTGCATCCCTCATTCGGCATCCATGTTTTTCTGGACAATTTTATGGCTGATAAAAGCCATTATCACATCTAACAAAATTACCAATCGTTTATTGGTGTCATCTAATACCCGATTCACATTCTGGTTTCTCATAATCAATATCCAAGAGTGCCCCTTCCGGTGGCTCTTTTAGGCACCATTTTAAGCTCGTGGTATACTCATTCTAACTCTGCGGGGTAGCCAGAAATGTCTTCATTTTTAGTTTATTTCCTGGCTTCTAAGATAACGCCCGTCCACTGTAGGAAACCTGGAGGACCAGTCCCTACAAGGAGGTACGGGAGTCGCCGTCCTGCCCTCCCCGCCCCCGCCTCTGAGTCGGGTATCCTTGCACACGCCGGGAAGGCGGCGACGGCGCCCAGGCTACGTGCTCTGCCGGGCGGCCCCGCCACTCCAGGAGGGGACACAGGCCCCGGGAGGTTCCCAAGCTACGGGATCCGCCGCGACTTCCCCCTTTTCCCTTTCCGCGCGCGCTAGGATAACCTACACCGAGATTGGTCCGCAAGAAGGAAGGCTCCGCCCCCAACTCCTCAGGGGATCGCTTCATTGAAAATTTTGGGGGCCCCGCCCCACTTCCGCAGCCCGCGCTCCGAGGCCACGCCCCCAGCAGGGGCAGGTTTGCTTGTCCCGTGCCCACGATTAACGCGGCTTCCAAGGGTCTGCGATTATAGGTAGAGAAACTGAGGCCTGAGGAGCACTCTCTACGTCCCACACACCGTCCTTAGGACTGCCGTAATAATGGCAACAGCACCCCACGGCCACTGGGAGCCTGGATCAGGCGATGTACACCTTTAATCCAGACGACAGTGTCACATTGGTATTTTTAGTCCTGCTTTATGGGTAAGGGAAGGAAGGCCTGAGAGGCAAGGACACAGATCCTTAAATTGCAAGCACACAGCTCCTTAAACAGCACGGCCAGGACGTTTCTCCCCTAACTTTATTATGAATGTTTTCAACATACAGAAAAATTGAAAGAATTCTACAGTGTTCACCCAGCACCTAGGATTCAACAACTGTTTTCATTTTCCGTATTTACTTTATCCCTCTCTATGGGTGTATGAGGCTTATGTTTTTTCTGGATCATTTGTGAGTTGCAGATATCATGACCTTTCACCCATAAATGATTCAGCATGTAGGTCCTAAAACTAAGGACATTCTCTAACATCACCACAATACCGTATTTACACATAAGAAACTAACAGTAATTCTCAAATATCACCTGAGGTCCAAATTCAAATTTTCCTAGTTGTTTCAAAAATGTCTTTTATAGGGACCGGCCCATGGCTCACTCGGGAGAGTGCGGTGCTGATAACACCAAGTCAAGGGTTAAGATCCCCTTACCGGTCATCTGTTAAAAAAAATGGGCCAGCCCGTGGCTCACTCGGGAGAGTGAGGTGCTGATAACCCCAAGGCCCCGGGTTCGGATCCCATATAGGGATGGCCGGTTGGCTCACTGGGGGAGGGTGGTGCTGACAACACCAAGCCAAGGGTTGAGATCCCCTTACCGGGTCATCTTTAAAAAAAAAATGTCTTTTATAGTTTTTTGGTGCAGGATCCAATTTAGTGCATGCACTGCATTTGGGTATTATGTCTTTTTAGTCTCTTAATTAGAATAGCTCCTCCACTTTTTTTTCGGTTACTTTGACGCCGGTTTGCTCACTGGGTGAGCATGGTGCTGACAACACCAAGCCAAGGGTTGAGATCCCCTTACCGGGTCATCTTTAAAAAAAAAATGTCTTTTATAGTTTTTTGGTGCAGGATCCAATTTAGTGCATGCACTGCATTTGGGTATTATGTCTTTTTAGTCTCTTAATTAGAATAGCTCCTCCACTTTTTTTTCGGTTACTTTGACTTTTCAAAGTACAGGCCCGTTTTCTTGTAGAATGTCTCACTTCTATATTTGCCTGATTGTTTTTTCATAGTGTCATTTAACTTGTTTTTCTAACCCCTGTGTTGACTACAAACTGGAAGTTAGGTCTA